GGGGTCTCTTTTGGTCGGCCCTGATTTTTTTTTCAGAGGGGAATATTTTTTTTCCAGAGGTGGGCCATATTAAAATGACCAACGGGCCGGATGTGGCCCGCGGGCCGTAGTTTGCCCACCCCTGCCCTACGCCATCCTGCTGGTTCACAAAGCCAGAAAGGTTGGGGAACTCTGGTCTAAGATGGCTGCTTCCTAATTTCAAGCAGTGGCTAAAATCTTGGTGAAACTGAAGACCACAGTTTTAGGGACTACCCCATATGCTTTCTGAAACCCCTTCAAGCAACCTGATCAAATGGGCTTTCTTTCTTGCAGTGGGAGCAGCTTGGAAAATTCACATTCAAATAAGTATGAAGTTATTCTTTATTGTATACCATGGCAAAAATTTAGCATTAATATTATATATTAGACAAATCAGAAATTAACACTAGATTTATTAAAATTAGTGAAACAAGTGATTCCAAAATCTTCCTATACAAAGGATATTAAATGATTCATGTCAAGAAGGAGCTGAATATTTTTATTTTACATAAAATCATTTATATAAATTCTGATAGAAATTTGCATGATGAAAACTAACATGAACTATATTTAATCTAATAAGCCCAAAAGAAAATTACTCTCAATATATTTCAATATACTTTGAAATTACTCTCAAAATATTCTGCTATTGAAAATTCATGCTATTAATATATTTAATATATTTTGTGACTCAGGTTTAAAATAGTCATGATTATAATCAACTTATCAGTGTAGCTATATTTATTTTCTTACCTTGAGTATTGGTGTTGTCAGTACCCCAAGAACTATAACCTGTAAAAGAAAAGTTAATATATTAATAAATTTTAAAACTCCACAATATATTTCTAAAGATTTGCTCTGTATCTTCTATATTCATTCAGAGGTTTATCTTCAGTATATTTTGTGTATCTGATAGGAATCAAACCATTGTGAAGTTGTGTGGTTTCCATTGCTACCAATAAAATAGGAAATCAGGCCAAATGCCAAGGTTATATACAATGACTTACATTTTGTTCTATTCTCTGTAACTAATTCTGAAAGCAACATTATACATGGTCTATAAAATCTTCTTAAGCAAACTCTTATTAACCAGTCATGCTTCCCGAATGATTAGTAGGAATTAAGGGTTATCTGAATTCAACTCTTTCAAATGTGCAAACTAAGAATATTGAAATATGGAAGATTTTACTTAAAAAAATAATTTAGTTTCGTATCATACAATACAGAGAAACAAATCCTTATCTGGAACCAAGGTTTCTTATGAAAAGTACCAAAAACCCTTCTGAAAGGAAACAAAATAAACAATTTATTTTATACTAAATGAATATTTCAGGAAGGAAATACTTGAACATATAAAGCTAACATTACATACTTTCTGTAGTTGTCGGTTGTTTGCTTCCAGATATTTCATTACCTGACTAGGTAATATTTGCAATGTGGCTTTACTCTCTGTTTACGTACAATAGTTTTCCCTGCCTGCATTGGGAGGGCTGTTGTTTTCTCCTTGGTAGTTCCTTCATTAGGTATTGTTTTCGGTCTGTCTGCCTGCCACTTATCTGAATGTTGGTTGCTACAGATGATGGGGTTTTGTTTCCTTCTTAGCTTTTTAATTTTCTTGCCCATACAACTGTTTTTATTTTATTGTCAAAACACTAATCAAGGAACTACCAAAAAGAAAACCACATCACCACTATCACTAGTAGAGCAGGCTACTTTATATAAACAGGGAACAAATCTGATACTCACTAGCACTGATGATGTTACTTAATTGGGTAATGAAATGTTTGTAAGCAAAGGACCAAAATCAAAGAGCATCAAGGACTCCAGAGTTCATCCCTGAGCTAAATATATTCTCTTCTATTGAATTATGTACTTTATGTAACACAAATCAAGGCAATATGCTAAATAAAATTGGAACAGAATTGTGACACTGACATTTTCTATAAAAAAATAAATCAATTTCTTCTGAGAAATTAATATAACTTATTCCTATGTATATTCAAAATGCAAATAGTTATAAACATTACTATAAATATTATTACTTTCATAGGTGTACTCTTTTAACATGTTCTCATTAAAGTACTTCAGAACATTAAACTAGCAAGCAACTGTGTCCTATTCTCAGAGACTGCCGAGACAAATCCCTGCAGTTTTCTTGCTAAAGTATTTCAAAAGTGGTTTAACACTGCCCCTTTCCTAGGGCTAAGAAAAAGTGACTAGCCAAGACCACCTAGCTGGCTTTGCGCCCATGGTGGAACTAGAATTCCCAGAGAGAGATAGCGTGTATATATACAAATATATGAGAGGTAGCAACCCACCCTTGGTCTTTTGAAAAAGATTAAAACATGGCTCTGCAGCCCTATGCAGGAAGCCCAGAGGGTTGGCACCCTGAGAACCTTCCCTCCTTTTACCTTTTTAACTAATTTTCAACAGTTCAATCATTCTTGTCTGCTTTTAAATTTTATTTTTTTAAATTTTAAATTATTGTATGCTGTTTTTATATTTTAACATTTTATTATATACTGGCTCGAGTACCTCTCTGAAAAATATGGGCAATTCAAAAATGTGAATTCCATCATATATACACAGTGTGAATACACATGCATTTGTTGCATTCTCTGGTATAACTATGTTAATTGTTGCAAAAGAACATCATTAAAATTGTTGTGATAAAGAAATGGAAACAGCAGCAAGATTGAGAGTTCCGATTTTTTTACATAGGATCCTAAACCCTTTCAGTCATTATGTAGTATCATATAGTCTTTTATAACACATAATGCCTGGCATCTTGGATTTCAATATTCAGCTAGCATCACAACTGGCAAGAAATTTGTGGAAGCTATAGTACAAGCATCTGGCAGGGACCCAGGTACTTGCTGTTGCCTTGGATACCAATCAGGGTTATTATGGTATGATTTCTACACTAAACCCCATTTTATTAGTTTTTAAGATTCCACTTTATAGGGGGATTAAGTTTAGCATTCAAAACTTCCATGAGTATTAAAATATCTAGTTATTCAGTTTCATAGGAAGTATCATTGCTTCTATATTCATGCTACCTGTTTTATTTTCAGTACTACTATATCTACAAGATCTGAAAACACTTTTGACAGGATGAAAGATGACTTAATAAAGCTGAATCTCCTCTGATCTTAGCCTCTGGATACAATTAAAGAAAAGCAATAATGTACACAGATATTTCTAAGTTACATTAAAAAGGTATTCCCTTTTTTCCCCTTGGTGTATTATCCTCCTCCCTCTCTAAACAGCCATACTGTTTACAAATAAAACATTTTAATAAACACCCTGACATTTTAAACCAAATAGGCAATATATCCATACAATACTCATAACAAACAATTTTCTAGTTTGACAAAATGCATAACATAATCACACGAGTTGAGTTCAGTCAACTCGCTAAGCTTCAATGTAGCTGGCCAAATTTGCGAGTCAGTGTCTGGTGCCACCAATAAAGTCAATGTATCACTTGCTACCACTATAAACGTCACAAAGCCCTCAGACCCTGGATTTTCCCCACTGCTCAGTTGAAGTACTCTAGTATTTATTTATTCATCCTTGAACTGGCAAACAACTACACATAAACATAAAATGTATTGTTTCCCTTCATCCTATTTTGCCTGAATTCCAAAATGATGAACTGCAAAACCGATTTTACACTCCTTGGGTCTATTCTGGAGTGTGTGAAAACAAGCCCCCAAACACTACTTTAGCACTTAGGACTGGGACAAGATGGAAGACATCGTCATGGGGACCTGACTGGAAAAAACGAGGTGGCTAGGCAAGTTTGTTCTTCCTGACAGTGAGAACAATTAATCAGTGGAACAACTTGCCTCCAGAAGTTGTGAATGCTCCAACAGTGGAAGTTTTTAAGAAAAGGTTGGACAACCATTTGCCTTAAATGGTATAGGGTTTCCTGCCTGAGCAGGTGGGTTGGACTAGAAGACCTCCAAGATCCCTTCCAGCTGTTGTTATTCTGTATTCTGAGATAGGTAAGAAAGCAGATGATGGCCTATTGACACTCTTAATGGGCATGTTGGCAATCCGTAACACACTGCGATGAGGGTTGTAAGGGACGTGAAGGGAGGGGGCGATTACGTCCCTCGTAATCTGCTCCCGTCTGTCACTGTTTTGTTGGGTGGGGGGGGGGGGGGGGGGGGGGGGGGGCTGGCTGTGGAAATACAACGCGGGCCAGAATGAGCTTTTCAACCGATTGACTGGTCCACTTCTCTTCCAGCCAGAAGCGCCGTCGGCGGACAGGCAAGACCCACGAGCCACTGTTTACAAACTGGAAGGCATCGACCTCCGCGACACGCAGGCAGGAAGAGAGCGTTATCACGAGCAGGACTTCCTCCACGCCATTTTGTGTCGTCTTTAGAAATAGGACTTCGGTCCTCCTTTCTCGCTCGGTACCGCAAAGGTGGGGGGGAGGGGGAGGGGGGGGGAAGGTAAACTCGAACCGTCTGCCTCGCTGGCCAAATAGCACTCCAGTCACCAAGCGGAACCTGGGTGAGGGACAAGCGCAAGGTCCAATCACCGCTGCCGGCGCCTCTCCGAGAAAGAAGGCACCGTGGGCTGCGCGACTCGCAACTGGTACTACGTAATTGAGAAGAGAAACCGGTTCTGTCAAAGCCCGAAGCTCTCCTTACACTCGCCGGAGCATCCATCGGCAGGACTCACCGTAACTTTGATCCATGGCTTCGCTTGCCGTCCTCTTCCCCACCACGGACAGCTACCCACCACCCGAGTGCGCGAGCGCCATATGTCGCCACAGATTGGCTTCTGCCTCTATTCCTGAAGTTCGATTGGCCGGACGTTTAAACCTAAGAGGGTCCGTTGCTCCCGCCTCCCCGTATGAAGGTCGTTCCCATTGGGCTGTTCGTTAGCTTGCCCGTCGCTGGACATCTACGTTCTACGCCTTCCGACGCCCGGAGAACTTTCCTATTTGCAGCTAAAAACGGTTTGTGCAGCTAGAGAGATTTCCGGTTCCCATTTCTGTCCGTTGATTCTTCCAGTAAGGAGAGGCGGCTGGTGCTTATAAGCGTTCAGAGGACTAAACAGCAAACGAAGACGGGTGGGCTGAGGTTCCTTTTTATTACTTGCGAATAATGAAGGACGCCGTAGATAATTTGGCGGCTTGAGCTTTCTTGTCTGAAAAGAACCTTTAGAGCCAGTCTTTTGCTTGGAGGGGCGGGGCGGAGGGCAGGCTGACATTTCTCTGCGTGAAGCCCACGTGCCTTTTTGTATTGCTGGGAGTTTGGACCAATGAACTCTTATAAAAAGGCGTCCGTTATTTGGCCCGTTAGTACTTTCCCTAATCCAGGTCTCCAAACTTGGCAACTTTAAGACTTGTGGAGTTGGTCCACAAGTCTTACAGTTGCCAACTTTGGGGACCCCTGCTCTAACCCTTTCCTGGTTTGGTGGGTCCGATTTGAAATGCGTTTGTAATTTTTTTTTTTTTCTCGTCTCTGTTCACACGCTGGCCGGTAAACTACTGCACTACATTTGAAAGGAATTCCGCGAACATGTTCTTTGCAATGGAGTTTATGGTTCAGGATATAGTGCAGAAAATAGGATGAGGAAATGCCAGGTGAGCCCAGCCTTTTCCTAAATTTTCTGTGTAGCTCAACTGTTTGACACTCCCCCCCCCCATCATGTTGAGGTGTGCTGCAGTAGGAAATGGCTTGGATGTGGGTGCTGATTTTTGAAGCTACTTTCTGCCCGTTTCTAACCCCACTTACATGGCTAGAGAAGCATCTTATTAACTTTGTTATTCATGGAAGATGCCTTATAGTGTGTACAACTATTGGTCAATCCTCCTCTAGGTTTTGTTCAAACTGACTAGCAATGGCTCTCCAAAATGCTGGGCAAGAAGTTCTCATGAGACACATCAGTGAATGTGCAAGCTTTGTAAAAAGTACATATACAGTATCTAAAATACAAAATTTGAAAACAGTTTTGTCTCCATCTGTCACTAAATGTAGTTTATCAACTGGTGGGGTAGCTAGTGCTTTAACATCGTAAAGGATTGTCACTGACGCTATTGGTATAAAATATAATAAATCTTGTTGGACAGGCTCTAAGGATTGGGAGGCACCATTCTGTTGGCCTTTCTCTGTGGCCAATGCTAGTTGTGAGGGGGTGCCTCAAGACTTCGATCTTTCTCGCCTCCTATTTAACATCTCAATGGAGCTGTTGGGAGAGGACATCTGGTGGTAAGTTTGGTAAGCTGATAATGCCCAATTTATTTACTCCATGCAGATGAAGTGATGCTGTTCAGGTGCTGTAAAGGCTTGGATGAAGATAAACTGGTTGTGACTCAAACTGAGCAAGATGGAGTAGCTTTTGCATTTTGGGTTAGGTTGAAGAGAATTGACATCTCTGACTCTGGATGGGGTAACATGACCTCACACAGTTCTGATATACAATTTGGGAGTCCTCCTAGACTCATGGTTCCTGCTGAAGCAGCAGGTGGCAGCCGTGGCCAGGGAGGCTTTGTAAAAGTTCATCTTGTGAACCAATGCTCGTTCCTGACCCAAACTGCCTTTGCTCATGGTCACTTAGAACAAGGGTTTAATAGTGTGGGAAGAGCCCCCTACCCAGAATAAAATATTCTACAGAATATTAAAAGAGGCAGAATAGAATATTTCCCTTAAAGGAGAAGAGGAGAAAAATCTCATAACAAAGGCAGAAAGCAGCCCATCTCTCTGCTATAGGAAAACAGCCTCAAGTAGAAGCCTCAAGAGGCTAGACTTTATGAATGGGTATTTTCTATTTCTATTCTTAAACAAAGGGCAGCCAGCAGCTCCAAATAAGCAGCATCATAGGCAAGGAACTGAAACTGACAAGATTAGCTCAGACAAAACACCTAGGATTTGTTTTTCCCCTTTTGCATGTAGACCCAGTCATGACTCCTACATGACCCTATAGGAATCTGGCAACTGCCATTAAAGGACATATTCTTGCACAGGAACAGGCATCTCAATCACAAAGCCCCCCAAATTGTATAAAAGCCCATCTACTCTCAATCCCAATTTGTCAGCCACCCAGAAACATGCTGTTGTTTCTGGCTACCAAATAAATGGAAACCACCTTTCTAAATGCAGCCTGCCTCCAATTTATTTCTCCCAGATTGGAATGAGAAAACCAGACCAGATTTTACTTCCAATAACAGCTCTGAAAGAGTACTACATTTATATTTGTTTCTAAATAAAACAACTTTTACCTTGAAAGAGTAACAGTCCTATGTTGCATTTATGATAAGTTTAAACAAGGGTTTGTTGATATTGTTGGTTGTATCACCAATGAATGTATTACAGATTTTCCACTGCTTCTAACAAAAGGTTTTGTGTGGGTTTTTATTGTTTCTATTATTTATGTGCAGGGTTACATTACCTATTCAACAGACTATCTCCAGATGCTGTCAGCCACATCCATTCACTGCTAGCACTATCATTCCTCTGCAGCAGTAGTTGAGGACAGAGCTCAATCTTTAACTGTCCCTCCTGCTTTATTCTATGCCACTCTTATGACTGTAATGTTATCTGCCAGGTTATTTTGGGACACAAGTGTAGTATTTATAGAAGAGGACTACAGTTCTGATCAAAAAGAACCTCACTGAAAGGAAACAGGAACAGAACAGCTTGGCATGTGCAGTTTATTAGTCAACTTGGTGACTACCATTAATCAGGCATCCCAAGCAGCTACTACATCCATCTGTCAGTCATTAATGAGAGAAATTGGTGGTTCTAATAAAGAATATTTGTAGCTCAGGGTTGACATGAAGTGCCCTTGGTGCTCTCTGAGCTTGCTTGTTTTCTTGCAGAGGTTTCATTATAGAAGCTAGGCAACATCATCAGTGATAGTAAGGAGTGCACCTTTGCAGTCAGTTTATATTCTAGTCTAGTGGCTTGCCCTGTCAGTGTTGGTGGGGCATAGTCTTAGAGATTCTGTTTGCTGTTGGCTTTTTCGGCAGTTTCTTGATTGGAGTATTGTTTATTTGATTTGATGTTAACCTTGGAGTTAATCTATGCTAATCTGGGTGCTGATAGCTGCTGGAGAAGTGCTTGGGTCATTTTGTTCCCTTTTTGGTTGGTTGATTGTCTCCAGGGAATTCCTAGAAGCCTGGCACTCTGACAAATCAACCACCAATAGACACATAGACATCAACAACATCTATAGACTATGCAAAAGAGACTATCACCCAGCCCAAAAAGGAACAAAAGACCCAAGCACTTCTCCAACATCAGGCCAACAATCAAGTAAACAATATCCCAATCAAGAAACTGCCAAAGAAGCAAATAGCCCAACCAAAGAATCTCTAAGACCATCCCCACCAACACTGATAGGCAAGTCACTAGAATATAAACCGACAGCAAACTGCACTCCTTACTAGAACGGATGATATTATCTAGTTTGGGTAATGAAACCTCTGCAAGAAAACAAGCAAGGTCAGAGAGTACCAAGGATACCTCAAATTGGTGACTATTTTCCCATTAAGGTGACATTAAATGGGAGGGAAAGTCAAGTCAGAAGCAGCCACCACCAAAAGTTTAGGTAGGACAAATCAAGTTTTTCTTAACTTGTTCTATAAGGACAGCACTTGCCAAGTTAATTATTGAAGTAGAACAGACAAGAGGAGCACAAATTGCTAGCAATAAAGGAATATGTTGCACTATTAAAGCTGAAGCCTGTAATAATAATAAAAAAATGCTCATAGACTGATACTTGGCTATCTTGATGTGCCTTTGTCTTTTTAAACAATGAAATCTGAGCAGGTGGTCCCATCAACCCTTTACTGATTTGAAAAGCAAAGCAGGATTAATCCTGGTTAATATTTGAATGGAAGAATGTCTGACTCACTAGACTGAGATGGCATAAAAATGTATTATAAGGTGGTAGTATCAAATCACTTCCATAATGCTGCCAAGGAAACTGCCAAAATGCAGTCACTAGAAGTTAAGTTTAACTTGATTTAAAAATGTTTATACAGAGAGAACATTGTTGTTCATGAAAAATACAATTTGAAAAACAATTGAGGTGCAAATTTAGTATTTCATACAGGAACACAGACAAGCAGAAGAGAAACTTGTGTTGCAGCAGTGACAGAAGATGAGATGAAATTATTCTGCTATGTAACTCTTTATAACGTAAGAATATGTATATTGTTTATAAAGAAAGGCATTGATGCTGGCATTCTTCTCTTATGCAGAGATAAAAATTATAGTATGTGTTATATGGAAGTAGGATTAAGGACGGTACATTTATACAATAAATAATTTTTAAACAATTGGAACTAGAGACAAAAACAGTCTCTTGGTTATCTGGTCTAGGAGAACACCTGATCTTCTGGAGAACTGCTGCTCCACCAATCAACTATGCCACTATAAACCCTTTCTTATCCTACCAATCTATTCCTACAAAAGTAGAACAGCCAAATCTTTCTCCTGACTCTAATCTATCTTGCTGCTCTAGTATGACTTACCGTATATACTCGAGTATAAGCCGACCCGAATATAAGCCGAGGCACCTAATTTTACACAAAAAACCTGGGAAAACTTATTGACTCGAGTATAAGCCGAGGGTGGGAAATGCAGCAGCTACTGGTAAATTTCAAAAATAAAAATAATTAATTTGGGAAACGATCTCACTATCTCACGTCACCTCGGGAAGGGAAAGGCAAAGCGCTTTTTGCCTTTCCCTTCCCGGCTGGGGCCATTGGGAGTCGCCGCCGCCTGCCTTTCCCTTCCCGGCTGGGGCCGTTG